GGACCTTCCAAGGGTCATTTTGGGTCTTCTAGGACCTTCTCAAGGACGGTTTTGGGTCTTTAGGGACCTTCCCAAGTACAGTTTTGGGTCTTCCAGGACCTTCTCAAAGACAGTTTTAGGTTTTCAAGGACCTTCTCAAGGACGGTTTTAGGTCTTCAAGGATGGTTTTGGGTCTTCCAGGACCTTCTCAAGTTCTTTTTGGGTCTTCAGGGACCTTCTCAAGGGTGGTTTTGGGTCTTCCAGGACCTTCTCAAGGACATTTTGGGTCTTCCAGGACCTTCTCAAGGATAGTTTTGGGTCTTCAAGGACCTTCTCAAGGTCATTTTGGGTCTTCAAGGACCTTCCAAGGGTCATTTTGGGTCTTCCAGGAACTTCTCAAGGACGGTTTTGGGTCTCCCAGGACCTTCTCAAGGGTGGTTTTGGGTCTTCAAGGACCTTCTTAAGGACGGTTTTAGGTCTTCAAGGATGGTTGTGGGTCTTCAGGGACCTTCTCAAGGTCATTTTGGGTCTTCCAGGACCTTCTCAAGGACAGTTTTGGGTCTTCAAGGATGGTTTTGGGTCTTCCAGGACCTTCTCAAGGATGGTTTTGGGTCTTCAAGGATGGTTTTGGGTCTTCAGGACCTTCTCAAGGTTCATTTTGAGACTTCAAGACCTTTCCAAACGTCATTTTGGGTTTTCAGGACCTTCTCAAGGTCATTTTGGGTCTTCCAGGACCCAAGTCCCATTTTTCTGGAGGTTTGAAGGCATCTCCCAACCTTTTGTGTCCCACCTCAGGGTCGCCTGATCCCCGGCGCTTACAAATTCGACGCCCTCATCACCACCTTCGAGATGATCCTCTCCGATTGTCCCGAGCTGCGGGAGATCGAGTGGAGGTGCGTCATCATCGACGAAGCCCACCGCTTGAAGAACCGCAACTGCAAACTTCTCGACAGCCTCAAACACATGGACCTGGTGAGATGGGGTGGGACACGAGAAGACCTCAGGGTGGGGAGACTCCATAACTTCTTCTAGGGGGCGTGGTGGGGGGTCCTGGAGGTCCCTGTGGGGTCTTTGTGGCATCTCAAGGGGTTCTGGAGGCATCTAGAGGGGGTTCTGGTGGCATCTGGGAGGGGTTCTGGTGGCATCTGGAGGTGGGGAGACCCCATAACTTCTTCTGGGGGGCGTGGTGGGGGGTCCTGGAGGTCCCTGTGGGGTCTTGGTGGCATCTCAAGGGGTTCTGGAGGCATCTAGAGTGGGTTCTGGTGGCACCTGGAGATGTTTGGGGCGGTTCCTCACGCCATGGGATGCTCCTGAAGGTAGTTATGGGGTCTTGGTGGCATCTCAAGGGGTTCTGGTGGCCCCTGGAGATGTTTGGGGCAGTTCCTCACCCCATGGGATGGTCCTGAAGGTAGTTATGGGACCTTGGTGGCCTCTGGAGAGGTTCTGGTGGCACCTGGAGAAGTTTGGGGTCCTCCAGTGCCCCATGGGATGGTCCTGAAGGTGGTTATGGGACCTTGGTGGCATCTGGAGGGGTTCTGGTGGCATCTGGGAGGGTTCTGGTGGCATCTCAAGAGGTTCTGGTGGTCCCTGGAGATGTTTTGGGTGGTTCCTCACCCCATGGGATGCTCCTGAAGATAGTTATGGGACCTTGGTGGCCTCTGGAGAGGTTCTGGTGGCATCTCAAGGGGTTCTGGTGGCATCTGGAGATATTTGGGGCAGTTCCTCACCCCATGGGATGGTCCTGAAGGTGGTTATGGGGTCTTGGTGGCATCTGGAGGGGGTTTGGTGGCATCTGGAGGGGTTCTGGTGGCATCTCAAGGGGTTCTGGTGGCCTCTGGAGATGTTTTGGGTGGTTCATCACCCCATGGGATGCTCCTGAAGGTAGTTATGGCGTCTTGGTGGCATCTCAAGGGGTTCTGGTGGCACCTGACCATCTTCACCACCTTCCTTTTCCACTTTCTTGGTCCTTCAGGAACACAAGGTCCTCTTGACGGGGACTCCTCTCCAAAACACGGTGGAAGAACTCTTCAGTCTTCTCCACTTCTTGGAACCTTCTCAATTCCCATCGGAAGCCGAATTCCTCAAAGATTTTGGAGACCTGAAGACCGAGGAGCAGGTGAAGGACCATCCAGAAGATCTGGAGATCTTTCTTGGTGGCCACCTTGGGGGGGGGGTTTTTTTTTTCTTGACCTTGACGTCATTATGGATTCCCACCACCAGGTCCAGAAGCTCCAAGCTATTTTGAAGCCCATGATGTTGAGAAGGTTGAAGGAGGACGTTGAGAAGAACTTGGCTCCAAAGCAGGAGACCATCATCGAGGTGGAGTTGACCAACATCCAGAAGAAATATTATCGGGCCATCTTGGAGAAGAACTTCTCCTTTTTGTCCAAAGGTGCCGGTCACACCAACATGCCCAATCTTCTCAACACCATGATGGAACTCCGAAAATGTTGTAACCATCCCTACCTCATCAACGGTGAGGACATCACGGGGTGGGGTTTCTTCTCCTGTGGGTGGACAACCTTCGCGGTCAACGCCGGGTCAGCTGGGTTTCTCCTGGTCTTGGTTTTTTCGGTCGGTGAGGTCTTGGTGGCTTCTTGGGGTTGAGGTTCTTCAAGGTCTGAAGAACTTCAAGGTCGTGGTGGAGCAAGTTGAGGTTCTCCAAGATCTGGAGAACCTCAAGGTCATGGTGGAGCTTCTCCAAGTTCTGGAGAACATCTCCAAGGTCTGGAGAACCTCAACGTGATGGTCTTGGAGGTTGGTCTCCAACTTTTGGAGAACCTCAAGGTCGTGGTGGAGGAGGTTGAGGTTCTCCAAGGTCTGGAGAACCTCAACATGATGGTCCTCGAAGGTTGACCTCCAAATTTTGGAGAACCTCAAGATCATTGTGGAGGAGGTTGAGGTTCGCCAAGATCTGGAGAACCTCAACGTGATGGTCTTGGAGGTTGATCTCCAAGTTTTGGAGAACTTCAAGGTCATGGTGGAGGACATTGAGGTTCTCTAAGCCCTGGAGAACCTCTCCAAGGTCTGGAGAACCTCAAGGTCACGGTGGAGGTTGAGTTTCTCCAAGATCTGGAGAACCTCAAGGTCATGGTAGAGGAGGTTGAGGTTCTCCAAGCTTTGGAGAACCTCAACGTGATGGTCTTGGAGGTTGGTCTCCAAATTTTGGAGAACCTCAAGGTCATGGTGGAGCAAGTTGAAGTTCTCCAACCTCTGGAGAACCTCAACCTGGTGGTCTCGGAGGTCCTCCACCTCATTTTGTTGACTTTTGAGGTTCCTCAACTGTTCTTTTAACTCCGCATCTCCTCCCCGACCCCACCGATTGTCCCGTTTCCACCATTCCAGGCGCCGAGGAGAAGATCTTGGCCGAATTCCGCGACTCGTGCCACCACCACGTCCCTCCCGACTTCCACCTCCAAGCTATGGTCCGTTCGGCCGGGAAGTTGGTCCTCATCGACAAACTCTTACCCAAACTCAAAGCCGGCGGCCACAAAGTCCTCATCTTCTCCCAGATGGTCCGGTGCTTGGACATCTTGGAGGACTACCTCATCCAGAAGAGGTAAGACCAAAAAAAAATTTTTTTTTTTGACGTGGGATGGAGTCTAGGGACCTCGGTGACCTCATCCTACGTCTTTTTGATGACGTCACAGGTATCTTTACGAACGAATCGACGGGCGTGTCCGGGGCAACCTCCGCCAAGCCGCCATCGATCGTTTCAGCAAACCCGATTCGGATCGTTTCGTTTTTCTTCTCTGCACGCGGGCGGGTGGCCTGGGCATCAACCTCACCGCCGCCGACACCTGCATCATCTTCGACTCCGACTGGAACCCCCAGAACGACCTCCAGGTAACTCCGGGGGGACAACCCGCGTGGTGTTCTCGGTGGACCACCACCGTCTTCTCCTCCTTCTTCTCCATCTCTTCCTTCTTCTTCTTCTCCTTCTCTTTTCTTTCTGTTCCTCTCCTCCACCTTCTTCTCCACCTTCTCCTCCACCTTCTCCTCCACCTTCTTGTCCTTCCTCCACGTTCTCCTCGACGTTCTCCTGCACATTCTCCTCGACGTTCTCCTCGACGTTCTCCTCCACTGTCTCCACGTCCTCCTCCACCACCTTCTCCATCTCTTCGTCCTCCTCCTTTCTCCTCCTCCTTTCTCCATCCTTCTCCATCCTTCCTCCTCCATCCTTCCTCCATCCTTCCTCCTCCATCATTCCTCCTCCTTCCTCCATCCTTCCTCCTCCATCATTCCTCCTCCTTCCTCCTCCTCCATCCTTCCTCCTCTTTCCTCCGTCCTCCTCCTTCCTCCTCCCTCCTCCTCCTTCTTCCTCCCTTCTCCGTACTCCTCCTCCTCCCTCCTCCTTCCTTCTTCCTTCTCCTCCTTCCTCGTCCTTCCTCCTCCTCCTCATTCTTCCTCTGTCCTTCCTCCATCCTTCCTCCTCCGTCCTTCCTCTGTCCTTCCTCCATCCTTCCTCCTCCATCCTTCCTCCTCCGTCCTTCCTCCTCCTCATCCTTGCTCCTCCATCCTCCCTCCATCCTTTTCCTCCTCATCCTTCTTCCTCCATCCTTCCTCCATCCTTCCTCCTCCGTCCTTCCTCCATCCTTCCTCTGTCCTTCCTCTGTCCTTCCTCCATCCTTCCTCCTCCATCCTTCCTCCTCCGTCCTTCCTCTGTCCTTCCTCCTCCTCCTTCCTCCATTCTCCTCCATCCTTCCTTCTTCTCATCCTTCCTCCTCCTCCTTCCTCCTCCATCCTTTCTCCATCCTTCCTCCTTCTTCCTCCTTCATCCTTCCTCCTCCTCCTTCCTCCATCCTCCTCCGTCCTTCCTCCTTCTCATCCTTCCTCCATCCTTCCTCCTCCGTCCTTCCTCCCTCCC